ACAATATCCACCTATTTATAAACATTATTTCAGTTTATTAGATTATCAGTGTTTCTATATATGAACATTAAAGCAGTTCATTAGTATATCACAATATCCACCTATTTATAAACATTATTTCAGTTTATTAGATTATCAGTGTTTCTATATATGAACATTAAAGCAGTTCATTAGTATATCACAATATCCACCTATTTATAAACATTATTTCAGTTTATTAGATTATCAGTGTATCTATATATGAACATTAGAGCAGTTCATTAGTATATCACAATATCCACCTATTTATAAACATTATTTCAGTTTATTAGATTATCAATGTATCTATATATGAACATTACAGCAGTTCTTTAGGCTATCACATTGTTCCTATATATATAGACATTACATCATTTTCTTAGTATATCATAGTGTTCCTATATATCAACATTACAGCAGTTTATTAGTATATCACAGTTTCTTGTATATATGAACATTATAACAGTTCATTAGGATATCAGTGTTACTATATATATATATAAGCATTATTGCAGTTCATTAACACATCACAGTTTTTACTATAAATAAACATTATAACAGTTCATTAGGATATCAGTGTTACTATATGTAACATTACAGGAGCTCATTAGGATATTACAGCTCCTATATGTAAACATTATAGCAGTTCATTAGGGCATCTGTGTTTGTACAAATAAATATTATAGTAATTTATTAAGATATCGGTGTTCCTATGTATGTATAAACCTTATAACAGTTCATTAGGCTACCTCTGTGTTTCCATATATAAATATTACAGCAGTTCTTTAGGCAATTACAATGTTACTGAATATAAACATTAAAGCAGACAGATGGGTTTGGGGTGGGAAAAGCTTTTTGTTTTGTTTTGTTTTTAAAGGATAGTAGAAGGAAACTGATAGAAGATAAATTAAGAAGCTTTAAGGGCTAATCAGAAATTGTATAATGTTTTATTGGGTGATTTGTCCTTGTACATGGTTGCATATTAACTGAAGATATTATAACTTTGGAGATATATCTCTACTAATCTTTTTTTGTGTGAAAATTTTTGGGGTGGCAGAAATATTCAGAGGCGGAGACTGCCACCCCTTGCCTCTTCTTAGCATGACCAATGAGAATTATAACATATCACTGTATTCCTATAAAAACAGTCTATTACAGTATTGCAATTTTGTAAAATAAACTTTACAACATGCAGTTAGGATATGGTTGTATTCCAATAAAAAGTTTACTAAGAACAATAAGTACTTTTATCAGTATATATGCAAAGAAACAGGATAGTTAAATTTTTTTTTGTACATTTACTATCCAGTATATATATATATATATAGTAATTAAGTCACTGGTATAATTTGTGGAATGTTACTTACTTTAAAGGTATTATGTTACCACTTTGGAAAACAAACCTGCAGAAAGGCATGTTTTTAGTGTGAAAGTAATGAGTGCAGCAGCTAAGCAACGATCAGAGGTGTGCTTATCTTGTGACCTTGGAGATCAGTGTTTGTATAACAGTGCCATTTTCAGCCCTGGTGCCAAATACTACATTCTAGAATGTTTAGGACCTGGAATTCCAAGAATAGAACTGCGACAAATCGATAATAACAAATTAGGTAAGTTTCTCATTGAATGGATACTGTCAGTATTTTGTATTAAAATCTATTTTCATATGTTTTAATAGCATTACAATATTTTTTCAATTAAGAAATTAAACATTCAGTTTTCCTGAACTTGCCACATTGGTAAACTGTAAAATTGAGCTGTAATTACTTAAGTCCCATTAAGCAACTGTTTTAAAAAACTTTAAAGTTGAGCTTTAGCTTAAAAATTACCTTGTTTATGAGAGTAAAGCCAATGTATTGTAAATATGAATGATTGGAACGAACAAATTCTTAATTATACTGAATTTAAGCAAGATTTTCTTTCCAGTTTATGTGTTGGACAGTAATGATGAATTGCGAGAATATTATGACCGAAAGGCACTGCCAAAAGTTCAAACTTTTCAAGTCCCTGTGACTAATGAATTTAGTAAGTAAATATGTCTATGATATTAAAATATTTTTGGCTAGTTGATTTATTTAATCCTCTAATTTTATTATCAAAGATTTTTCCATGAATAAAGTGTTTGGCAACTACATTGTATATAAAATACTCTACAAACAGACTAAGCTTTAAAAAACTTAAACTCTAGTATATGATAACAGTTTGATACATCATCTAAACATTCAGATTTAATACTATGTTTTATTTATAATACTTTATTGTGCTCTAATTAGGCCTTGTATTATTTTATGTTTTAACATTTGTTTATATTACACTTTGTACCATATTATATATTTATAAAGCATTCTGTTTTAAAAACTTAAGCAGATGTTCAGTCTTTAGGAATTTGTTTTCCTGTTGTACTTTGTCCTTGTTAGGTGTTTGAATTTTGTGCTGTTTTTTAGAATATATAGATTAAAAATCTTTATTCATATTATAGGTGTTTATGATGTATACTTACCGTTTTTATTTGACATTATTATTATGCTTATACTCGTTCATTTGGTATCATTGTGCTAGATTTTTCTGTGTGTTACTCTGATATAGCTTATGTATGTAATTTTATTTTTGATTATGTACTGTTGTGTATTTCTGTTCTGATTTATTGTTGCAAATTGGACTTACCTTCTTTCAAGCAAAATTCTATCTCGACTGCCCTCTAAGCATTGCTAAAAGAATTTTAGTAATCAGTTTAATGCCATTTCTGAACATGTACATATCATGTGACTACTCTCTACCAATAGTATTGTGCCACCTATAATGGCAAAACTATCTTTCTCTGCTATTTCCATTCAATTCCCACTTTTTTGATTAGCATTACACAGCTTAGACGTGTGTTTAATTTTTCCAAGTGTGACTACAGTTTTAGATTGTGCTTTGTTATTTTTTCAGTTGAAGTTTCATCTCACAATTTTTAAAATATTGTTTTTTTTATCAGTTGCTTCCAGTTGTTTCTACAGTTTTGCATTTTTAATATGAATTCGAGATTTAATGTGGTGGACAATGATATTCTAATCATAGATGACAACACACATGGCACAACTTCCCAAGACACAGGATCGACTTTATCTGCTCAGGAAGTTCAAACCTTGGTTTGCAGGGAGTTAGAGTCTTACATTTGGCTGGCAATTTCTTCTCCTCATCCACCTAACCATCTTTTTGAGGTGGCCTACCATCTCTAGAAAGACAATTTGGACTCTATGTTTCTGGCACTTTCCTTTTTTGGTCCATCACAGTCTACACCTGGTCAGGACATTTCACTTCCTACTTCTTTCTTACAACTTGTCAATCAGGTATGTCATGTTTTAGGTGTTTTCCCTAGAGCCCATGATTCCTCCTCTGCCTTATTAGGTGAAACTCCACCTTCAAATTATTATGTTTTTTCTTTCCTCCTCTCTCAGTCATCCTGCCGAGGCCATTCAAGACCATCTATGCAAAGAAGCTATTGAGCGGGTGGTTTCCACTCATCTAGTCCCCAAAAAGATGGGCAGTTGGAGACCAATTATAGATCTGTCCTGGCTGATTTCCTTTCTGGAATCCCTTCGCTTCACCATGGCAGGTGTTTTCACTGGGACTCTGGATGACTAAATTTTCAGTACTCCAGAGTCTCGTTGTTTTATTTGGTTTGTCTGCTGTTTGATCTCTCTCCAGCTCCTTTTGTGTTTTGTTGAGTGATTCACTCGTTTGCTTGTCACCTTCACTCATCGGGTCTTCTCACTCATCATTCCTGTTTGCTTCAACAGGAAACAGCATGAGTGGGTTCTCTGATAAAGTTGGAGAAGTCTGTTCTTACCACCACTCAGTACCTGGTTCATATGAGGTTTTTCTTCAATTCACACCTAGCCTTCTCTTCCTCATCTCGAGGATATGAAATGGGCAGTCACAAAGGCCCTTATCTCTCCTTCTCTCACAGCTCGAGAGGTTCTATCTCTTTTAGGGATGTAGGCTTCCTTGGAAGCTCTCATTCCTATTGGTTGAGCTTGTATGCGTTCATTTCATTGGACATTTCTCAATCAGTTGAACTTTTTCCTGAATCCATTGGACCATCTTGTTACCCTTCCTTCCATGATCAGGGCATACCTAGCTTTGTGGCTTGACAGGGGTTGTACCATGGTGAAGGTTTCCATTCCTCAACCTCATCCAGAGTTACATTTGTTCATGGATACATCTTTAGTGAGGTGGGGCTTTCTTCAACTCTCAAGTGATCTCTGGTTTGTGGTCTGTAGAGGAGTCTACACTCTACATCAACATCCTCAAGCTTTTGGGAGTCTGTCGGGCTTTGACCCATTTTCTTCCGCTCCTGTGGGGCGGATGGTTATGGTCCACTTTGACAACTCCACAGTCATCAATTATATCAACAAGAAAGGTGGAACCAAATCCAAATCTTTGTATTTTTTGACTCTGGATCTTTTTGGGCCAATGATCACAACATGGTGGTGTTATCTTGCCATGTTCTTGGAGCCATGAATCTGGTTGCAGGTCGTTTATATCTGCCCAATCACAGAGTGAACCCTTCATCCACAGGTGTTTTGGTGGGTGTGTTCTCAACTGGGGACATTGCTTATCAATGCCTTTGCCACACACTGTAACACCAAAATTCCTTCCTTTTGATCTCCTGTTCAAAACACCCATTAGCTCAGGATGTAGACACATTCATTTTGGATTGGACGGGTCTTTACTTCTACGCTTACCCTCCATTCCAACTCCTATTCAAAGTTCTATCCCTCATCCAGACCACTTCTTGTGTCATCCTGCTGGTTGCTCTGTATTGGCCTGCATAGCCTCAGTTCCCTCTGCTTTAACATTCACTTGTGCAATGTCCCCTGCCCTTATCTCTTTCTTAGTCTCTCCTCTGTCAACCTCAATTGGACATAGTTCATCCCTATGTCAACAAACTCTTTCTTCATGCTTGGCTTTTGTCCAGTCCCTTCCTCAGCCCAGGGAGTGACTCCTTGTGTAGCATCATTCCTTTCCTGAAACATCAGAACTTTTTCCTTGACCATTTACCAATGGCATTGGTTTACCTTCTGGTGTTGGTCTCTTCACTGTGGCTCCTGTCTTTCCTGTCCTTCTGTTCCTCAGCTTTCCCAATTTTTTGCCTGGTTGTTTGACTAGGGCCTATCCATTTTAGGTGTGTTTAGTTATCAGCCAGCCATGTCAGGCACCTTCCATTTTTCCCAGTTCTGTAAAATTTTATCCTCTTCTGACCTTTCCCTCCTTTTCCATTCCTTCTGTATTGCTTGTCCTTGATGTCCCTTTCTTGTACCAGATTGGGATCCTAATGTGGTCTTTTATGCCCCTTCTCATTCTCCCTTTGAACCACTTGATATATGTTCCTTGTACCATTTTTCCCTTTACAACCTATTTCCTGTGGATGCCATAATTTTGATATTTATGCCATTAATGTTTTTCGTACCCTTTACCATTTCTCTTGTGTGATCATCTACCCTGACTGGTCTTTCCATCCTAATAACTATGTAGCCTGAGAATATAGTTTATCTTTCTCACCCATTTCCTTACCTTCAATTTCCCACCAGTACTCCCATTCCAATCCAGAAAGGCTTCTTTGTTCAGTTTGATCATTGAGGTGTTACATGGCTCATACTGCCTCTTTTGGGGGTTCACATTCCTGACTATTTATTCCTTGGAACCTTTCTGTTTCATTTGATCTGTTTCCAATAACTCTCACTAGTTGGGTTTGTCAACATGTCAGGATGATGTATTCGGACTTGTCCATGGAAGGTGGCCTTCTCCATAATGTTTCTTCACATCAAATTTGTCTCATTACCATATCTTTAGATGCTTGCCTTTGCCCCACATTGTAAGAAATCATTTAGGCTGGTATGTGGACTATTCCCAATCCTTTTTTTTGCTCATTATCTGCATGATCTGGCTGTTTCTTCCTCTGGTGGATATTTTGTCTTCTTGCTATGGCAATTTCGCACATGTCTGTTCATCTTTAAACCTGCAATAAACACAGTAACACTCACAGTTGAGATGTTGGGTTTCTGTAAGACCACTGGGCACTTTCCTGGTGGTGTATATCTATGTATTATAATTATATCTGTAGTGGATTGTCACTCATGGTCTTCATGAGTATAGCAGAAGGTGTTTTCTGCCCATCCCTGCTAATCCTTTGATTCCTTAATTTGGTTTGGCTTGTTTTATAAGAAAAGGGAAACACAGTCACCCATTCCATTGTCTCCTGTGTAATATTCCTCCAGACTCCCCACCACATTTTTACCAGCCTTTTTCTTTGAGTGGAGCATGGAAGTCCTTACCACCCTCAGTTCCCAGTCACTGAGGTGGTGGACTATGAAAGCTTCCTCCTGAGTGTTACTGTACTTATGCTCATTTATCCATTCAGGAGAAGAGGGGGTGAAGCTGGTTCCCTACTGGCACTTCCCCCAGATGTTTTCTGCCTGGGTGGACTGCACTGAATAAAACCAATGATCAAATATTATTTGGGGCCAGCCTACATGGGATCCTCATTGTAATTCCGGGCTCCTACAGTTGAGTGCAGTAGAGGCCTCTCTTCTTGTTAATTCTAGTTGCAGAAGGTTTTTCCCGCTTCTACTGTTAGGTTTGAGAGACATTGTCTGCCTCGTAATAATGGCAGCAGGATATCTATGCTATGTTCCTATAATTGGGCAAATGCTGCTCGTCCTCATAGTAATTCCAGATACATGATTTTTCTACCCTGCATTTACAGTTGAGTGAGGTATGACTTTGCCCGTAATACTGCTTACAGCTTTCCCTGTTCTTACAGTTGAGTTGAGGCAACACCAAGATCCCATAATGCCAGGTTTGGTTTGTCTTACTTCTTGCTCCAATGGTGGTTTTGGGAGTTTGTCCACTAACAACTGTTTGCTCACTTCTTCCTTGTAATTCCAGTTGCTTGATGTATGGCACTCTGTTTACTTACAGTTGGGGTTGTTGGGTATCTATAACATAATCCACGTACCATAGCCACCTGTTGTTAGTACATTTTTTGGTTATCTCATTATATATTGATCCAGCTTGCACCTTCTTAACATTCTTACAGTTGTGCAAGCATTACCTTTTCCACCAATTTCATGTTACTTTCCTAATTCTTGGGCGAAGAGCATATCTGTTCGAAGTAGTGTGGTACCCCACAGGTGTGCTTCATTTTCATCTCTGAGCACATTCATTCATTCTGGGCAGTCACTTTCTGCTTGGTTTGTTTTTTGTGAGCCTACACAAACCCCCTACCTTTGTAATGTGGGATTCTAGCCTTTTGTTAAATAAGTCTGTTTCAGAATTTAACATTTTCTTACACTGAAAATGTATTTCTGATAGGTACTTACCTATTCCCACCCTTCTTCCCCTCTAGAACCAGTGTTTTTATACTAGTACCTGCCAATTCTCAAAAGTGGAGATTGAGGGGGAATAACAGAGGCAGATAGTTGTGCTGTTATAGGTGGTGCAGTACTATTGGTGTAGAGTAGCAAGAAACTGGTGGGGTATAAAAACTAGTGTGCTGATTACTAAAATTCCTTTTGCAATGCTTAGAGGGCAGTCAATGATTGAAATAGCCTTTTGTGTGAGAGGGGTAAGTACCTATCAGAAATACATTTTCAATATAAGAAAGTGTTAACTGGTATGCTGTTGGGTTTAAACACCTTATTGTCCAGTATTTAGTTGGTAATGTGATTTACAATGTTTCTGAATTGTTTAATTAGTGCTGTTTTATTTGTACAATACACCTTCCTGTCCATTGTTTATTTGTTGTGGGGTTTATTCACTCATATTTATTTTTGTTTAGAAGAATATATGGTGATTTATTGTATTTTTCTATTATTTACTTACATACTTTTGTGTTCATACACATAACTTTCCTTTTTATTTTTGAGTTAGTTTTTATGATTTACTCTGCTCTCCAGTAGTTTAATTAAATGCTGTTGTATTTTTGCTCTTTATCATCTTTTTGCTTGGTTTTATTAGGCTGTTGTATTTTACATCTGTCCTGTTCTGTTGTTTAGTTAGGTACTGTTCTTTTTTTTTTTCACTCAAAAAAGTTTTACTTCATTGTTATTTTTGGTAGTTACAGGTGCATATGCTTAGTGAAATTTATATACTTTACTGTACTATTGTTTTGTTTTAAAGTAAGGTAAAGGTCTTCTATAGTTGTTTTTCACTAGTAGGGTACAATGTGTTTTAGTTACTGTTCTTTTATTTTAACAAATACTGTTGTATTTATACAATTTACTGTTTTTTCATTTAAATAAATACTTTGTTTTTACATTACTGTTCTCTTGTCTATATCAGATTCTGATGTATATGTACTGGTTTTTCTTTCCTTATAATGTACATATTATCAATAAATTAGGTGCTGGTGTCCTTTATTGCACTGTTTGATTACTTAATTAGGTACTGTTTTGTCTTCCACTTCACTTTCATTTTGTTTAAATGAGAACAATGCAGTTAATTAGACACATTTATGTTTTACTGTGCTGTTTTTCTTCACTTATTTTTCTGTTAAGTTTATTGTATTTATCTTTTTCTTAGTTAATTGTTGTATTAAAATTATGACTTATAGTTAGGTCTACTTCTGTGTTTCAATACTTTAGTATAACTTACATACACTTTGTGTTTCACCATGCCATTCTTTTATTTTATAAAGTGTTGTTGTGTATGTCTATAATTTTAATAAATTAATCTTTGAACATGCTTTGTTTAGGAAAGTGTTTCTTCTTTTTGTTGTCTAGTTAATATTTTTTTTTTTTTGGTTTTTAGATGCCATTGTCCGACTGTTTCTTCCTCCACAGCTTCGAGATGATGAAATCACTAAATACCCTTTGGTGGTTTATGTGTAGGTATTGAGTAACATAGGATAAAATGTGAATAGTGAAAGATATTACTATAATACATAAGCTAGCATATAGTAATTTTTGTACTGAAAAATGCTAGTTTCTCTCCTCAAATCCTGAAGATGCCTGAACAATCATTACTTTTATTTCTATACTAAAATTCCTTGTTTTGATGAAATATTTTCATGGACACAAAATATAATTATAATGTGCTTTTCAATACAGAATCACTTTACCCATTTTTTTGGTTAGTCAAACTTTTCAATGCAATGAATTTGGTACACAATGGCACAGTGTTGTTGCCATCACTATTATAATTACCATTACTTTACTTCATTGTGTACTTTATGTGTAGTTTTATTAAATAAAGTTATTTGTATATGAGTTTGTTTGTCTGACCGTGTAAAATTTTTTTGAATAGACCAGGATTTATCAATATTACAATAATAAAAATTCAAATGAAGGGTATGAAAACTACTGCAAATGTTTTGTAGGTCACAACTAGTATTCTTTAAATTTGGAAAAACTTTCAAATGTAAGAAAGTAAATATTTTATAACATTAAAACAGTAGCTGTTATATAGTAATAAAATTTTTCAGGTTGTTCAGCCCTGTTTCACTAAAGAATTTGATGCTTGTAGTGGTTATTTGATGTATGCTTATTAGTGTATTGAAAAATGCTGGAACAGTGGTAGTGGTTAGCAAGTTTATTGGCATAAAGACAGACGTTGGTATCAGTCATTAGATGTTTCTTTATTAAGATATAGAAGGACTGTATGAATGGTTATTAGAGATGTTATTAGTGGTTATTAGATATGTTTATTGTTATATGGAGTGATGATGGTAGTGGTTGTTAGATATATGTTTATAACACGTATGTAGTATTTGGTAATTTTATTCTGAATGATACATGAGCTAAATGGTCATGTCAGAGACCCTATGTTTTGGGCATAATTGTCCCTACTGTAGAACTGCTGATCAGATGGAGAGCAAACATGACAGCAGCACTTGCTGACCATATGGTTACTTTCAGTTAAATAGTGAGTTTGACTATTATTTTTATAACATGTTCACAGCTTAAAATGTGGAACATGTTCAGTGACACTTAAAAGTGCTTGAATCTTGAACACTGAGTAGTGCTAGCATTTAGAAGATATGTATAGAATGGCTGTGATAGTTTTTGTGCTATGACTTTTATTTCATAAGGAGTTTGTTATAACTTTATATAAATTACAACCATTCATGCAATACTGTCTGTGTATATAAACAAAATATTTTTATTAGGTATTGTGGCCCTGGCAGCCAGATGGTCACTGAAAAGTTTGATGTTAGCTGGGGAACCTATCTTGCAAGCAGTAAAGGTTTTATCTACGCCATTATTGATGGTAGAGGAAGCGGTAATCGTGGTGATAAGGTGTTGCATGAAATATATAAAAATCTAGGGAGTGTAGAAATACAAGATCAAATAAATGTTGTCAGGTGAGAGAAAGTCATTATTGCAATTTTGCCTGGTAAATTTAACCACAAATATTTATTTTCTGGCACTGAAAACGTGTTTTGTTTGTTTCTGGTAATAATAGTTGTATTTCCTGGTTAACTGCATCCTGAGAAATGTTTATGTGTAATGTTGCCTAACAGCAGTAATTAAATTTCACTTTTTGTTAACTATTTTAACTCCTTGTTTTGTGTTATTTCAAGAGAATAGCTAAACTTTGAGGCACTTTGATTGTATACATGTCACAATAGTGGTAGAAATAATAAAGCTATCATACTGTATACATGGCAATGATCAGATCTTATACAAGGCAGAGCAATGGAAAAAATAACTACTCTGTTAGAGTGGATTTTTTGCATAAGAGTTGTACAGTATTTTATTAAACCATAATTTTGATGCATTAAGAAAAAATTATTTACTTTTCTTGACTGTATTCTTGGCACATTCCTTAAAAAAAATTTACTTTTGACATTGTGTACAAAGCACAGCAGTTGAAAAAATCCTTTATCAGTTTATATATATCAACAACAAAAACATGCTTCACCAAATTTATTTGATGCTTACTATTAAAAAAAATATTTGTGTAACTTATTTATGATAAGATGTCTGTCAACTTATAAGTTCATTTTATTGTGTAGTATGAGTAGTTACAGTAGTTTTTAAATCAAACAGGAGACTAATTTAGAATTTATTCATAATTGTATTATACATATGAGGTAAACATTTCTGGTAATTCAAGGATAAACCTAGACACAGGAGCTTGATCTCCACAAAATCAAGAGCTTCATGGATAGGGTGACCAGACACCCTGGTTTTGCTAGGACAGTCCTGTATTTGGTAGTTTGTCCCAGTGTCCCAAGAAAAGTTCTTGGTATGCAAAAAATGTTCTGATTTCATGATAAAGACATCAAACTGTTAGTTACATTGAACCACAATGGTAATAAGCTTACTTAACTTGTTCGTTGTTGTAACACTTACTCTCCTGCCACCAAGCTTTGTAGAAAGTTCCATCTGTGCATGGTGAGAAACTCAGTTCTGCTCAGGTCCAAATATGGAGACAGTTAAGGCAGTGCTTCTATGTTCCATATGTCTTAAAATGTTTCAAAATAATGCAAAACCTTAAAAGTAGCATGTTTGAAAATATTATGGATTCTTAAATAAATCCAGCTATGAAGCAGCTTATTTTAAGATGAATTGGGTAGTGAATAATTAAATATTTCTTTGATGTATACTTTGATTAATTTTATTTTGTGTCTATCGCCAAAAAAGTAGTTGAGATTATTTCAAAAACAATGGCAGTGTTAATATATTTGGAAGTATTGTGTAATAGTTCAATAAATTTAAAGTAAATTAAATAAAATTTAAATTATTTTGAATTTGTAATAACCATTTGAAATTAGGGTCAAGGACTGGACTGTTCTGTTTTTTTTTTGGATTGGAAATCTGGTCACCCTATTCATGGATATAATATGCAGAAAGACAGGTGTAGCAACTTGTTGCAGGTTAAATGAAAAAGACAAGACATGGTGTAGAAGTCAAAATAAAATGAAATAAAATGCTTTATTTAGAGTGAAAAGTAAGTACAAGTGATCATTGGAGCAGAAGGACTACTCCAGTTTGTGAAGGAAGTGTAAATAAATGAAAGGAGTTTACCTGTTTTTAAATGAAGTGAATGGAATAAAGTAGTACACAATCAGCAGGTTGGAAAGAGAAGTATTAAAAACTTTGTCACTGAGTCTTGGTGCTCACTCACACATGAACAAACTGTTTCCCTCAAAGGTTTAAATTAAACTGCTTGATGCGAAAACATCAACACTGCATTTACAATAGAGCTCTAGAGCTGACAAATCAGAACATGGGTAAATTAAAACATTTTCTATATAGTAAGTATATATTTATAGGAGTGTAAGGTATATATAATATTTGTATACTACCCAGTTATGCAGGAATATATTTTATTTTCAATAAAACTCACTGTGCATTTTGTTATAGTTACTCTACAAAAATGTTAATACATAGATATTTCTATTTTTAGGTATCTTAGAAGTGAATTGCCATTCATTGATGCAGAAAAAATTGCTCTTTGGGGATGGTCTTATGGAGGTTATGCCACAGGCATGGCTTTGGCTACTGATACAGATGTGTTTCAGTGTGGTTTATCTGAAGCTCCTGTTACTAACTGGTGCTACTATGGTGAGAAACATTACATTTCACATGTTAATATGATGTATAATTTGCTCTAGATTAGAGAACATGTCATGGTTAATTATGATATGATATATAGTTATTTTCTATATTATTAACATAGTGTGACTAAAAGTAGGCAGAGTTTCTGTTTATTAGTTGTTTAATAGAGTAACAATAATATATGAAAAGTATATACAAAGTACTTGTCATTATAATAATTCCATAGAAGCTGAATAGTATTCTTTGTTTTTAAATGAAAGTTTTTTATTTTTAATATAACTGAACTAATTATTTTTCTGTCAGTATGAGTGCAGAATATAAAAGCTGTTACAAATATAATGCTTGATAAGGAGAAAGAAAATTTTAAAATGAGTATATGTACATGTGTGTACAAATATTTATATATATTTTAGATAGAGTACCTTATATCTTCCAATATGATACGTCATCTTGGCACACAGAATAGTTTTATTTCTTGTGTGTCTTGCCTATGAGATTTGAATGCCACCAGCCTTGAGCTAACCCCCACCTAAAATTCATATGTCTAACATGAATTACACTGGTGCATGATAACATCATCATGCAGCAATAGACCTTCACCAGTAGGAGGGCAACACAACCCCCATGTGTGGTAATTCCCCTTAAGCACTTGCACTAGAAATAACTTCATTCTTTTCCTCAGCATTACCTTGAAGAATCATGCTAATTTTTTCAAGTCTATGACCAATTTACTAAGATTTGCAATTGCCAATGAGATGTAAATTTCATTCTGTGTTTACTTTTGTTTCAAAAGCATTAACATAATGAATTCTCAAGTGATAGTGACTTCTAATTTGTCCTGTAAAATTAACTGAGTTATGAAAACAGGCAGTATTTCTACTATGGCTTCTGGAAGCTCATTGACAGCATGTTGTAGGTTCCCTCATGCATACTGGGCTTTCTCCTCCTGTCCCTTCACCTGACGTCCTTTCTCTTCAGTTTGTAAATGACCAGGAGGACAACAAATTTCACTGACTGCTTCCCCCCACCTGGGTTTCCTATTGTTACCATAGGATAATCCTCAACCTTCCAACCTCTTTCTGGATATGATTTCTCAGATATGTTTTTTCTTCATCTTTAGTCTGTGTCTTTTGATTCTTCCCATTCTTTACTCCATGAAACTGATTATCAGGATTACTTTGTCTTTCCTCCTATGCCTAATGTTATGGTTCATGGTGATACACTTGTACCCACATGCATCATCCCCTTTACACTCTAGACTCTTTTGTCCCAACTTTTAGCCATTCTTTCATAGATTCCTCGTTTTTGGAAACTCTTTTGCCTGCTTGGGGTTTGTAACCCTTTCTCTTCTATTTTGCTCTCTAGTTCCTTGTTTTCATGTCTTCTCCTTTTTCTTGCCATCCTCCCACCACCTTTTATCTGAGGCATCTCTTTGTGCTCTATAGAGGTTTTCTAGAGAGGTACATTCTCTTCTCTTTACCATCTTTGTTTGTACCACTTCTTCTGCTATTTTCCTTTTCTTCACCTGAATGTCTTCAGTAGTGTTTGTGTTTCACTGGAAACTGGAGCTGAATTAGCTTGGCATCAATCCTCATTCTTTTCCTTGGCTTTGTGTCTTTCCCATCCTCACCCATTGACTCCTGTTCCTTGACTGGATCAGTCTACCCTACCCATTCTAGTTTTCAGGACTTTGTCTTCTTCCCATTGTCCTGCTAACCAATATCTGGTTTGTCATTCATTTCATTGGTGACTAGCCTGCCGAGTCAGACCCTCTGGGTGCCTGTCTGTCTCACTTTGCCAGCCTATGACCTCAGTTTCCTACTGACAGATGGGTCTTCATGTTTTAACCTCATTTTCTCTCCACTTCTTTCCTTCCCTCTCTCCCCATCCTGTTTCCTATTCTCCCCCCTCTGATCCCATTATTCTTCAGTGTTTCATGGATTTGGTCTTAGATCTTTTGACTGAACATGCCATTGAGAAGGTATTCACTCATTCTCTGGGTTTTGTTACTCTTACCTCTTGATGGCCTATGTAGGCCTAGGAGTGTTGTCCGGTTATTGATCTATCATTTCTCACCAAATTTCTAGTCATTCTATGGTTCAAGATGGAGAATTTCTCTCCTCTCTGCTGACTCTTTTCACCTGGTCTGTGGGTAACTACAGTCGCCATATCAGATGCCTTTCTATATATTTCAGTTACCCTGTCCTCCCAACATTTTTACATTTTGTCCATCAGAATCAAGTCTTCTACTTCTGTGTTTTTCTCTTCAGCATGATGTTGGAATTTTATATCTTCAGTTGGGTCATGAGGGCTTTAACTCACCACATTCATGAAATTGGGGCTGTGCTTCCATTCCTACTTGGTTAATTGGCTTTTACTTGCCCATTATTGAGATATGTCTTTCTCTCATACCTCCTTTCTTCTGCAGGAGGCTGCTTGGTTGGGTGTGTTGTTACGCTTTCCAAGTTCTTTCTCATGCCTACACTGCATTTAGTATATCTGGGCATTTTCTTTTACTCTCATCTTGGTCAGGTTGAGCCTTCACCTTATCCCCTGTGAGCTATGGACTGTCTGGTCACCGTGGTTTGTATTATCCTTTTCATCCTGCCCATAAAGTTGTTTTGCTTTTGGGACTCTGGCTTCCCAGGAACCATTCATTCCTTTGGGGCATGCACACATGGGCATCTTCCAGTGAATATTGCATGATCAGTGGAATCTTTTGTGGGATCCATTGTCCTTAATTGTGAACCTCCTTTCTCCTCTTCATGAGGTCTTGTCTTAGTAGCCAGACCATGCAACTACCATGATTGGTGTTTTATTACCCCCCCTCGACTGGATCTCCATCTCTTCACAGTTACTACCCTTTCGGGTTGGGGCACATCTCTGACCAAACTATGTCTTTTGGCATTTGGGTATGGGAAAGATGTTCACTTTACATCAACCTGCTCAAACTTCTCGCTGTTTGTCAGGCATGTTCCCATTTCCTAATTCAGCTAATGGATCAGTCTATCATTAGTTATCCTGTAGCTTTATCGACTACCTTTCAACTTTCTCCTTACCATAGGATATTTTATTCCCTTGCCACTTACAAGTTCCTAGCACAATACGGTAGGAAGTAGGGCAATGGTGACACTGTCAGTGTAGTGTAGGTCACCTCTCAAACAGCAGATATGCCCTCGTCTGTTCAGTTGAGTCGAGGCTAGCACTCCCTGTATGGCCTGATCATGCTCTAATCACATTATGCTTATTTGCTTGCCAACCACTTGTATGTGCAAGTGCTCAGATGGCCATCTTCATATTCGCAACATCCCTGACTTGTAATGTGGTATACATAGCAAACCCAGGTGGGGGAAACTGTCAGTGAAATTTATTGTCCTCCTGGCCATTCACAAACTGAGAAGAAAAGATGTTAGCCAAAGAGACAGGAGAAAACTCAGTATGCATGAGGGAACTACAACATGCTGTAATGTTCCCAACAGTCCATGAGCCTCCAGAAGCCAAAGTAAAAATAGGGCCTGTGTTTGTAACTCAGTTACTTTTACAGAACAAATTACAAGTCATCATCACTTGAGAATTCATTATGTTAATCATTGATTTTCAAACACAAGCAAGGCAGAACAAAACTTAAGTTTCATTGACAATTGCAAATCTCAATAAGTTATTTTGAGCGCAATACTTAATCAGAGTTAATGTACATGGAGGTTGTTTTGCCTCCTATTGATGAAGGGCTATTGTTGCATGATGATGTCATCATGCACCACCGCAGTTTCACATTCACATGTGAATGTAAGGTGGGAGTTAGATCAAAGCTACTGGCATCCAAATCTCATAGACAGACGTGCGAGGGATATAACTATTCCATGTAAAGAGTTGAGTATTTATCAGGAATACATTTTCATATTAGAAAAATGTTAATGTCAGGAGTCCTGTGAATACTTAATGTATGTTTTGTTATAAAATAAAAGTATTATGGCTAAACGTTTTATAAGAAAAGGGCATAGAATGTTTATTTGATGAGTATCAGATAAGATATGTAGGCATGTTACATAAGCAGTGACACATTGTTTGGATCTCTTCTGTGATTTTAAAGGTTATTAACACAGATAATAACATCTTCAGATTCTGTTTATACTGAGCGATACATGAAACTTCCAGAAGAAAATTATGTTGGGTATGAGAAAGCTAACCTCTTAAAAAAAGCAGGAAATATCAAGGGTAAAAAGTACCTTCTAATCCATGGAACAAGTGATGGTAAGTTTGTTAATTCAACATTTTACTTATTCATTCAGTTAGAATAATGTTTTCCAACCTTTTCATGCAAAACCTATAGTATGCACTCACTAGATTAAACTGAGTTGAATCTCCATCATGTGAGGGATGGCCTCAGTTATAGTTTAGTACTGAATTTATGAACGCTTGAGGAATGAAAGAAATAATTTTATTTATTTTTTATAAGGATTCAAGCAATTCATTAAAGAAATCTAGGGACAAACATGATTATTTGACCTTTATGAAGTCTGAAATCATACTCCACTAAGCCTTTATATTTTCTGATCTTTCTTTTTCGTTCTTCAGTTGCACAACAGTTGCAGTTGCTGAATATGAAGCTGTAAACTGAAAGACTAATAAATGTTGTGGAATTTTTATGTACATAATATCTGCTATACAGCCTCTTGGTCTGTCAGTAGGTAATCCATGCATAAATAAGCATGAAACTGAAAGTTCTTTGTTTAGGTTGCTAATAACTAAGTAATACAATTTTCTAAGCTTAGTTCAGCTGATAGCCCAGTCTCTTAAACTTAGTGCAGTATGTAATCCATTCTCATATGCATAGTGTGGTATTAGTCCAGTCTTCTATGCTTTGTTTAATCTGTAGTCCAGTCTTCTATGTTAAGTGGAGTACTTATCCCAGTTTTCTATGACTAGTGCATTATGTACTCCAGTTTTCTTTGTTTAGTGCAATATGTATTTCAGTTTTGTTTAATGCAGTATCTACTCCAGTCTTCTATGCATATAGCAGTACATATTTCAGTCTTTTCTGCTTAGTGCTTTATTTAGTCCAGTCTATTTGGTATAGTGCAGTGTGTAGCTCAGTCTTCTATGCATCATGTTGTCCTAAGTCCAATCTTCTTTACATATTGGATAGTATGTAACTATACTTCTCTGCCTAGTACTGTGTTTAATCCAGCTTTTTATACTTAGTGCAACATTCCAATCCAGTCTTCTATGCTTTGTGAAGTCTGCTATTTTTACAGCTTTACATTAACGTCCATCTTTATTGAAAGTTCTAGAACCAACATTGAACACTTTTTTTCATATTATGTAGTCAAACCTCTTCTATAAATAAGTATAAAAATGACAAGGTGATAACATATAAAGATTAGACTTTTGGAGATAAACCACTTTTAAAAACTATGTTAGTAATTTATTCTCTTGGTGATGTTTTGAGCAAATGGTCTTTTTCAAGCCTATTTTATGACCAGTTTCAGTTAATAATATCAGAAATTCTAATCACTTAACCTGATCATGGAGAATGTTACGCAGCGAAGCTTTATATTTCCTTTTGTGTGGAAACAGTTTAGGTTTAAATGTAGTTTACACATGCATTTTTAGAATTTGTTGTGAAAGGAAATTTAGAACTGTTTACTTTTCCATTTGGAAAAGTGCAGTGCTTATCTGGTTACATGATAAATTTGGTTAATTAATATAGATTAACGTATATTCAAATATACAATACTGCAAGATGAAGAAAACCTGTGTTCTACAGATACAGCTATAAAGGTAGATATTTGAAACATTGTTTTTATAATATAGGCAGATTTATTTGGGGGTGCACCTGGAATGCACTGCCCCTTTTCTTGGCATGTTAATGATACTCCAACTACACCTGTCAAATGTAATGCTAAAATAAAATATGTGAAAACATGAAAAATATGGTGTCTCCATTGCTGAAAGGCTACTTGTCTCTTATCCAGTAGGGGATGTTCCCCCTTATAATTCCAGACCCATGGCCCTTCTTGGGTGTTTGGCATCCCCCCTTTCCTAAAGTCCTAGATCTTCTACTCTATAATTGTATTGTGTATATATAATTATATTATATATATATATATATATTATATATATATATATA